GATGAAAGATGAGTAATGGAATGGAAATATTCTGTATGAGGCATTCATTGCCATCACCCTGTCTCTGAAAGCTGATCTACCTAAACTTCATGACAGACGTATGACTATGAGTTTTCTTCCAGTTACCTAAAGAGAAGGTGTTTCCTCAGGGCACTTATATTCTGTTTCCAAGGTCTCACCTCTTAAGCTATAGGTATTTCTGTCTATTGCCTTGCTTTTTAATGATTCCAATTGTTGTTTTGCCCCCAAAATATGAAAATGATCTAAATGAATGTTTGTATATGTTTGTTTCAGAAATAAGTGAAACCAGTGAATCTCTGAAAACCAAAATGTCTGAGCTTCGCCTCTACTGTGACCTCCTAATGCAGCAAGTTCATACAATCCAAGAATTTGTTCACCATGATGAGAATTGTTCATCTCCCAGCATAGAGGTAGATCAGAGATGTTCCTTTCATGTCTGATTATGCTTTGCAGCACGTTGGTGGGTGAGTTTCTTCCCATAAGATGACAGAGAAGCATTTTCAAAATGCATTATTCTCAGCCATTCTGACCTCTCCAGATGTAGAGTATCTGGAAATTTGTAGCATCTTACAGATTAATGTCTGTACAACCAGAGTAAAGCAGGAAGCAGCACATTTGTCCGAGGAATCAGGCCTGTCTTTGAAGCCAGTTGATAATTTGGTGGTTGGGGTGGGGAAGAAGCTTTCCAGGCTGACTGCGTGAATTCATTGGACAACTGCTGTTCTCTTTCTTGTGTAGTAAGGTCCTAGCTTAACTACAGAAGAGTTGATAATTTAGCCTTACAAAGTCACTTTAAAAAATCCTTTTCAAAACAGTGATGTAGCAATCAAAATTCAGATTTGTGGGACCTGACTATGAAACAGACTCAGTCTTTCTGATAAAGTGGGACCAGTGAGCCTTACTGCTCTCTGGATGAAGTGCCAGCATGGTTTGTTGTCCCCTTTTGCCTGACTTGGGAGAAGTGGGATGACGAATCTTCCCACCTCCCCTGCGGCCTGCCCCTACTGGGGAGGAATCGTGGGTGAGGTGCGTTACATTTGGTTGCAGGTGCGTTAAACCCTGAGGCACTTACTGTTTCACCACAGGCCCTCTGGAAGTGGGTGCCCTCACATCTGCTCCCGTGGCTCAGGGACAGTGTTAGGGACCCAGCTTGTGCCATCCATCCACTCTGCTGTCCTTGGTGTGTTGGGATTTTCTCCTTATGCCTGAGGCTTTAAGGTGACTGCAAGGTCGCACAGAGGCAGGAGGCGGTGGGGTGGCCAGGGTGGAGAGAGACATTCTCTATTTGCTGTCTTTGGCTTTTATCAGGGAACAAAAATCCCAGAAACTCCCCAGCAGACTTTTCATTATCTTTTTAGTCTGGGTCAGTGGAAACTAGGAAAAGTGAGTATTTAACAAAGGGTCACCGAATAGCCAAGACTGGCTTAAACCTGTCTATATTCATCCCCCAGGGTCAGGGCGCTCTGTGTTGTCCTAAAAAACACTTGGAGTTTTTATTGTACCAAGGAAGAAGTGGGTGAATGGATGTGGGATAGACATGAGTTCTGCCTGCCACTAAGGAACTCTCATGGTGTTCCATTGCTGTGACCACCTTTGGAATTCTGATAGTTAGAAATTTACTCTTTAGGTTAGGTTTATCTGAGAGAAATTTTTGTACACAATTTTTCAATATGATATTTGATTTAAGTGCAAGAGTTATTTTTTTCTTGGAGTCTAATTTCATGCATTGTTTACCTGAGAGACATAATTCTTATTCGTGCATTGCTTCACTTTTCTAAGATAATGCATTTTAAATAGATTTGAACATGACCTACTAAGGTGTCCATTAGAGGTAATGTTTCACTACTGATTATAAAGTGTGTGAGTCTGTTCCACTCTTTGTACGTAATTTTTCAGAACATGAATGAAGCCTCTTCTCTACTTAGTGCCACATGTAATACATTCATCACAACGCTTGAGGAATGTGTGAAGATAGCGAACGCCAAGTTTAAACCTGAGATGTTTCAGCTGTCTCATCCGGATCCCTTAGTTTCTCCTGTGTCACCTTCTCCTGTTCAAATGGTTGGAACTCCTTGTTTTTCTTCCAGTGATACTGCATGTGGTTTTGTTTTTGTTCTTATTTTTAAGGGTGGAAAATGGTAGTGGGAGGGAAATAGTCAACACGTTGAGTTTCTTTTGATTGTACTCAGATTCTATATGGGAGCCTCTCAACTACTGGGCTGGCATGTGCCAAGGTCCTGGTTCCTTCCACCCGCCAACCCCCCCAGGGCTGTGCCATTTCCCTCAGTGCTCCAGGAAAACAGTGTAATGCTCTGTGGGTGCTGTGACACGAAAAGGTTGGGGAGCACTCTTCTACTTGGTAAAAAACACCACAATGGGGTGATGATTTACTCACAAGGGGATAAAATTATGCAAATCTTTAAGGGAGCTATAAGAGATTTTAAACAACATGTTACATGCGAAACAGTATTTTGTAGTTAGCATTTGGATTTGAACCCTCTGAGTAGACAAGTTACTTAATCTCTCTGGACTTCATTTTCTTCATCTGTAAAGTGAAATGTTTTCTACATCAGAGGAAAATCTGATCTGTTTAATGTTAGGTCCATAATTTTTGGGTCTTACTGTCTGATTACTTTGAACAACAAGTACCTTTTTTACTGAGATTGGTGAATTTGTTCTCCTTTTCAAGCTATTAAACTTGTTCTAGCATGCTGTGGGGAACTTGGAGGTGAGATAAGGTTTGATGAGACTTTATGTTTTTTTAATCAAACTATTTTCAGAAGCCCTTTTGCAGATGGAAGAATGCCATCTGGCTCTTACCTTAGCAATTATCTGAAGATTTATTTGTTGGAAGGAAGAATAGGGTACAACTTACTCCAAAGTTCTCTTACCCACTACAGCAAATTTGGTCATATGAGATTACCTAAATTTATTCAGACCATTGTTTTCTAATCAATTTATGATGGACTCACAACATCCTCTGAGATAGGTGTACCATGAAAATGAGTTCTGTGGTCGGCTTAGTCTGGGAAGTGCTAGGTTAACTTAAACAAATTGGATTTCTCTGTCACAGAACTTCTTAGAACTACTTTTATGCTAAAGTGTATTATGAATCTCTGAGGAGAGATGGTTTCTGAAATTTATTTGACAATTAAACCATTTTGTTTATTTCTTAATGACATCTCACAGAACTGTGGTGTTTGGTAAAGCACAATTTGACAATGTTGCTTTTTAGAACAATTTTAGATATACTGTGAACTGGTAAGTAACACATATAGTTGAACAAAAACCCCAGTCTTTTGAGATAGATGTATTGTGTTGTGTTCCTGAGGTTGATGTACAAGGTATATCTGACTTTAAGATATACCTTAGAGTCAGATACAATGAGAACACCTCAAACCTGTCTGGTGTCTTTCTGCACTGAACTTCTGAGGAAAATGCCTTCTCTTACAAATGTTCTATAGTCCAGACAAATCATATATATATTTTATGTATAAAACTGTAATAACTGTCTCTTTTAAATTAAAACCTTTTACCAGTAGTAACATAACAGGAAATAAGTTAATCCAGAAATGTCAGTTTCCTAGAGGCCACTTACTTTTCCTTACTGTGACATTTTACTTCATACATAAAGTAAAAATTCTGGCTTATGGTAAATAGTTCTGGAGACACATAGCGTGGAAAGTAAGGTCAGACAGTCTTTAAGGGACAATAGTTTTCCTTTTTTTTTTTTTAAATAACATGTAAATGAAAAATAAAGCTGAAATATTTGAGAATTCCGAATTAACTTTATAACCACTTTATGTAGTTAAGCTCATTGTGTTCCTCTTTAAATTAACCTGCATTCAGTTGTATTTCAGATCACCATGGAAGTTCAAACAATTGTCATTTTGATCCACAGATTGAGTGATAATTCTAGTGGGGGAGTTGCTGGGTGAGCAATCCTAAAAGAAGTGATTTCTGTTAAAGAAGATGTTGATGTCCAGTTGCATCTTTATTTTAATCGTATTAGATGTCCCTGGACTAAAAATTGGCTGGGTCATATTGTTATCATTTCACTTGGGATTTCTCAGAGCAACTGTAGAAGGCATGTATGTAACACAGATGTTAGACTTGGACTTATAAGACTCTTGAGCCCCATGTGTAAATCAACTATCCTTAGCCTTTAATATAAACTTCTCTTTTCTGCTACATTGCTAAACATTGAAATAATCTACTTGGCTGCCTTAATTTTTTTGGTGGAGTAGTTAGATCTTCTAAATTGTGTTTCATATTTGTCATTTTTATTAATGCTCTGATGGATTTTATGTACTTATTTATATTTTAAATATATGTTTTCAGAAACCTGTTTGAGGCTTAGGGTTAATCTTCTGAGTTCTTAAAAGACTTGAATTATTAATGCTGTTTTCTATGAAAACCGCACTTTAGAACATCTGTGTAATAGCTACCTGAATAATGAATGATAAAGAGAAGCTTGCCTACCAGGCTGTTCCCACCCTTTAAAAAAAAAGAGAGACATTTATTAGAATATTTTCTTTTCTGGCTTGCCAGATGCTCTTTTTTATCACAAACAGTGTGATTTTTTTGGACTAGTAAAGCATACTGTTTTTCATATTTTTATACATACACACGTTTTATGTATCTGTTATAAAATTTAGTTTCTAGTATTGAGAAAATAATCCAGCATATTTTTAGTATGTGCTGAGAAAAATTTCAGTTAATGGTTATTAGGGAGAAAGCTGGAAATTATGCTAATAATGGTACTTGAGTCTATAAAAAATAAATGTTTTTCTTTGAGTAAATTTATATGAATTATAATAATGGATACTAGAGATGTCTTATTCTACCTGACATATGGATTATGCTT